TCACCCTGCTAGCAGCGTGATTTTAATGCAAGCGTCTAGTAGCAGCGTGATTTTCATGGAAGCGTCTGCTAGCAGCGTGATTTTCACTCCGGAAGCGTGAATATCACGCTAGATCTAAAGTTGATTCGGCTAAGAAGAATGACATAGCCCCCCACGGCGGCCTGTTGTTGGCTGTTGCACAAAGTCCACTCTTACTAAAAAAACTCTATTCACGCTCGCGGCGTGAAAATCACGCTCGTATCTTGTGGACTTTGTCTCCACCTTTAATTATAGTTTGCATTATCGTTTTGGTCGTTGGTTCTATTGTCATTAGTGAGTTGTTTGATTTAGCTTCAAGTTTGGGATTCTTGAGCATTACGGCCTCGCGTACAAACCTCTTATGCTTCGTAACGACTTACACTTAGGTTTAGGACAGCTTAAGTCCTTTTCATCGGGATTGCCGAGGGCCTTGGAAGCCTAAGGGTAATATTCTGACTCAGATGCTTAGTCAGATGCATCGGATTTCTCCTCTCTTTTCTTTTCTGGAATGCCCGACTTCGGTTGTTTTACTCTGCTCTTGGGGATCAAAATTCGGGTGCAGAAAAATGTTGTGGGTGGTGTTTGACACGCCTGTAGGGCTCTTTGCAGCTTTGTAGAGCCCTTGTGAGCCGCCTGCTCTCTCACTAGGAGTTGGAGCACCTGCGCACGCTGTAAGTTTTTCTGCATGTTTAGTAGTGTTGTCGACCCACACATTTATTTTACTTTTGTTGCCCTTTGGGTTGGGGCGGCACAGTAAGGTCCCGGAGGGTCCCCTTAGGTCATAGGCGAGTAGCTTAGGTCCCTGAGGTGCCACAGGGGGACCTGAGGTCCCAGAATTGGACCTGCGGTCCCGGACGGTTGCCTCAGGTCCCTCGCGGTTGGGGCGGCACAGCCAGGTACCGGAGGGTCCTTTGAGGTCCCATGCGTGTACCCCAGGTATCTGAGGGCCCACAAGGGGTCCTGAGGTCACAAAGTAGGGCCCGGGGGGCCTGGACGTTGACCTCAGTTCCCCGGGGGTTGGAGCGGCACAGCCAGGTACCGCAGGATCCTTTGAGGTCCCAGGCGAGTACCTCAGGTCTCTGAGGGCACAGGGTGGTACCTCAGGTCCAGGAGGGGTACCTCAGGTCCCAGACGGTTACCTCAGGTTCCCGGGAGTTGGGGCGGTTTAGTAAGGTCCCGGAGAGTCCTTGGAGGTTTAAGGCGAGTACTTTAGGTCCAGGAGGGTCGCCTGACGTCCCAGACGGCAAGCTCAGGTCCCCGGGGGTTTGGGCACCACAGCAAGGTCCCGAAGGGTCCCCGGAGGTCCTAGGCAAGTGCTTTAGGTCCAGGAGGGGTACCTGACGTCCCAGACGGTAACCTCAGGTCCCCGGGGGTTGGGGCGGCACAGTAAGGTCCTGGACGGTCGCCTAAGGTACCTGGCGAGTACATCAGGTCCCTGAATGCCCAGGCTGGTATCTCAGGTCCTAGAGGTAGACCTAAGGTCCCAGAGATGGACCTAAGGGCTAGACGGTTACCTCAAGTCCCAGAGGGGGACCTGAGGGCTAGACGGTTACCTCAGGTCCCCAAAGGTTTGGGCGACACAGTATGGTCCCGGAGAGTCCCCTAAGGTCCAGGCGAGTACCCTTAGGCCCCTGAGAGGGTGGCCCAAAAAATTTTCAAAGCTTTCGTAGAGGGCACCGCAGGTCAGAATCGAGTTGAGGGTGAAAAATGAACGAACACGTATTTTTTCCTTTCGCTGAGAAACAATTTTAAGTACCTCCGCAAGGCCCTTGAAGTTTGAAGCAGGGCTTAAGTGCATTTCGCGCAATATAAACATATGAAGTTTTGCACCGATTTTAATGGCAGTGGTATCTCCGTGATCGTCTTTTTGTGCTGAAAAAGAATATGTGTCTACGCGAGCTGTAGGTGCTGTGGTTCAGATTTTATCTGTCCGTGACTGTCTGCCGGTAACGAAAAAATTGCAATTTTCAGCCTTTTCAGTCTGTATCTGGGCCCTGAGCAAGCTCAAGCCGACCCTATCCGCATAAATTAGTTGCTCTAGTACTAGTCTATATTTCCGGACCCCAGAGCATGCCTTTGGGTGCGTTGCCTACCCTCCAGGGGCACGGATTTATCGCGAATTTCACCAAAGTCGGACTTGGGGCGAACATAGCGACCTGTGACGATACATACCGATCTAAATCGGTATAAAAAGACTTCTCTGTGAAAAAAGATGTCACGATGACCCCCCCCCCTTTACCTGTCCAAACCTGTCCATAAACCTGTCAAAACCTGTTTAAACCTGTCTATGCACTTTAAAAAAATTATCTCTTAGCTCCGTGCCATAATGTGGTCGCAGAGAAGTCTTTTTACACCGATTAAGGTCGGTAAGTATCGTCACAGGTCGCTATATTCGCCCCAAGTCCGACTTTGGTGAAATTCGCGATAAATCCGTGCCCCTGGAGGGTAGGCAACGCACCCAAAGGCATGGTCTGGGGTCCGGAAATATAGACTAGTACTGGAGCAACTAATTTAAGCGGATAGGGTCGGCTTGAGCTTGTTTAGGGCCCAAATATAGACTGAAAAGGCTGAAAATTGCAATTTTTTTGTTACCGGCAGACAGTCACGGACGGATAAAATCTGAACCACAGCACCTACAGCTCGCGTAGACACATATTCTTTTTCAGCACAAAAAGACGATCACGAAGATACCACTGCCATTAAAATCGGTGCAAAACTTCATATGTTTATATTGCACGAAATGCACTTCAGCCCTGCTTCAAACTTCAAGGGCCTTGCGGTGGTACTTAAAATTGTTTCTCAGCGAAAGGAAAAAATACGTGTTCGTTCATTTTTCACCCTCAACTCGATTCTGACCTGCGGTGCCCTCTACGAAA